AGCAATGGACATTGACCTTTCCATGCTCAAAGGCTGGGAGGACCTCTTTGAGACTACAGACAAGGCAGCCGTTGAAGATGATGCAAGGTAGGCATGCAGGGGAACGGAAGTCAGTGTAATCGCAGGACCGAAGGGAGCAGTTTTTCATTTTTGGTCCGGCCACACCACACCCTTTTATACAGTTTGTGTGTGATGTAGCTTGTACTTCGAAGTACGCATACCCTCCTCAGCAGTAGACATACATGAGTCCGACAAGCTGGTCTGGTGATGACCCGACAAACCAGGCTGGTTCTGGCGGGTCTGGACTGGACAAAAACCCACCAGCAATGCATGCTTGTAACCTTGCCCGATAGTATGCATTGCTCAGATGTATGATTATCATGTGATATGGAGACAGACTAATCAACTCCGCATTGCACAGCAGGGAATCTCATAATGGCTCCTTGAAGTGGGGCTGTCCTAGTTGAGGTGGAACCTGCCTTCACCTACATCAGAACCTGTGGCGCAGCTGTTTAGCCAAGCAGGGAGATGTAGTTGAGTACGATTTCCAGTGGCCGGATCAATCGCCCTTATTAATGCCCACACCGCATCCTTTCTGCAAGGAACTGACCGCCCAATTATGCCCCCATTTCTTGTCCGGTGTCCTCCAGGCAAGATGATTTGACAGTTGATTGGAAGGAGAATGATGATCTACGGCTAACTAATGTTTCGGAGCCGTACCAGGTACACCCAGAGACTGGAGACAAGGTGTGGTTCAACCACTTGCAGGTGAGACAAACTAATGTTCAGTTGCATGTGACCATTACCTGCGTAACCACTTTCAGGGTGGTGTGTAGCCCTTTCCCAAACATGCCAAAGTATTTCGCAACTCAACCATGCCAAAACACGTGAACGTTGCTGAAATTGCATCCATATCTTCTAAACAAGCTCAATAGTAGCTAATATCGCAACTCAAAAGGTGTGCATTCTTTTGTGCATACATTGATGCCGAGAACAACCAAAAATGAGCAGAAATAGACCACTGTGGCCTTAAGTGTGGGTATTCAGTACTTGGCGTCGAAGAACTGGGGAATCAGCATCGTAGCCTATGCCGTCAGTCTCATTTTCACGTACAACAGTCTATGCACTGTGGAGTAACGGCATACTGTGCTTGGTAAATTAGTATCCTGTTCGTTATTCGGCGCCTGACAATACTGCACGTACTACGTGTTTCCAAGTGTGTGTGTGTGTGTGTGTGTGTGTGTGTTTGTATGTGAATTCGTGTGAGTCTATTCACATGTGCGTGTGTATATACATTCAGGAGATCTTACGTGCATGTCTGTGCCGCTGTAGCAATATGAATGTGCACCTGAGGCCGTGAACACATTTTGTTGGATGTTGCTCTGCACAGCTCTTTCACCAGAAGTTGCTAGCACGTGAGCTGATGCACTCCGCCCGTCGTACAGGCAACCTACTCCGGTGGCTGTTTGCCTGGCTACTGCTGCTCCTCTCGCACATCATTCTGTTTGTGAGGGGTTCTGAAAATCTTGGAATGCATACAATGTATGGAGATGGTAAGTCTTTTAATGAATTGAAAAAAAGAGGTCTCACTTTACATGTACCGTAAAGTCGCGGATAAAAGCCGGGTTTGCATACAAGCACATCGCGGATAGAAGCCTGAAAATCAAACGGGTCAAATGCATATAAGCCTGTCGCGCGTAGAAGCCTGGCTTCTATGCAAGCGCGGATCGGGTAGGTCAAGAGTGCATGCGCTATGTACAGTGCATAGTAAAACGGCCGCCATACCGGTGGTCAGTGGTAGATCTACGCGTGTCGCGCGTAGAAGCCTGGCTTCTAAGTAAGTTCTATGCAAGCCCGGATCGGCCGATGTGCATACAAGCCTGGCGAAAATATCAGTGGTGCATATAAGCCTGGTTTGCATACAAGCCTGGTTTGCATTGAAGCCTGATGCAGAAACCGGCTTATGTGCTTATAAGCCCGGCTTTTATCCGCGACTTTACGGTATGTATTTGAAAAGTCGTGAACGGTGCCATTCGCCTGTTCAATATTGCAACAATTTCTCCTCCTCTTCTCTGTGAGGGTAGTCGCCTGAGAGTGCATGGAGGAGAAAAGGAGGAGAGATTGTTTGATTCATTTATTATGTATTTTCTACATTTTTGTTGTGTCAACACAAACAAGATACGTCTTTCTGTTTAGCTGTGTGTTTGTTTGTTGGTTAGTTTGCCTGCTTGTATTATTATTTCCGTCAGTTTGTCTGGTCATGTGCCGAAGAGCCTGACTCGCTAGAAGCGGTAGCGCAGCACTACGACTGTGTGTCATCCGCTACAAAGATGTCCATTGCTAGTAGTGTGATGTACTCTATGCCGGTCATAGTGTAGTGTGATGTACTCTATGCCAGTCATATAGTGTAGTGTGATGTACTCTATGCCAGTCGTGTAGTGTAGTGTGATGTACTCTATGCCAGCCATATAGTGTAGTGTTAGTAATACAGGCAGACAGTCTAGTGCACCATAGATAGAATAATTATACTATGTCGGACAAAGTATCTTTTTAGAATCTTGTATTGTACTTTACCAGATTATTTAGTCTTTGAGTACAATGTAACCAGTTTTTGTGAATACTATTCTGCAAAAGAATATAGAATTTAAGATCCTTGTCGGTACATTATACTCAATTTCTGTGATTGGGAAATGTGCATTGTCATGAAATCTGCATTGTCGTGAAATGTGCATTGCCGTACCGTTGGCGTAATAGAGTTAATGGTAACAGTGCCGACCTGTACATAGACTATGGCAATAGAACTAGGTGCTGAATATGAGTTTGGGGCGATTGGATATCGTAGTGCAGCAGGCGTGTACTATAGCAAACTCCATGCATAGTACTGCTCAATGCGACTAACGTTTTGCATGCAACAAGTTCCCATCATTAGTTTGTTCCCTGCACCCCTACTTGAATATGCCCCACTGGCCTGGTCGAGCGCAGCCGCAACTAACATGGCCCAGCTGGATAAGGTTCAGCAACGTGCCCTGCATTTCCTGGGACCTGGAACGATCCTCCAAAGGCTTCAGCTTTGCCGGATGGTGGCAGCCCTGTCATACTTGTACAAGCTGCACTACGTTCCAGGGCTTCCACAGGTAAAGGCCATACTGCCACCAGCCAAGCCCCCTGCCGTAGCTAGCATGCGCACAGGGCAAAAATGTCAGACGCACCTTGGCTTCCAGCTGAAGTGGACACCCCCTCACACAGCCCCTGACTACCTCCTGCGATCCTTCCCCTTCTTCGCCATCACACCCTGGAACAACCTGCCTGCAGACCTCCTGCTTCACGAACCTCATTCAAGACGCCTCCAAACCTTCAAGGTCAGCGTATGTAAGGATCTAATCCGAAAGAGATGGCTGTGGTCCACACAGTACCTGTGACGATGATATTGAGACCCATTTAGTATTTACCTTTCTACTAGTACTTTGCTTGTTATGATTATTGTTTTCTTTTTTCTTTTTCCCTTTTGGTTTAGTTATTACACGTATTATTTGGTGCAATACTTGCGCGCCTTTCTCGCACCAAATTATTATTTTTGCTACTTGACCATGCACCCCCCCCCTTTTTTTCTTCGATGGCAGGTTGCAACGCTAACGCCGAGACCCCTGGTCGGTCGAGTTGCTCCCTGTACATTGGCACGTCGTCCCTACATCCCCTGTGTCTTGTTTTGTGTTTGTCCCCACATGTCTCTTTGTAGGGCTGTGTTCCCAATAAAATAAAATAAATTTAAAAAAAGCCGCTGTCTAATCCCGTGTGCACTGCTCAGGCACGGAAGTATCCCGTCAGGATTGTGACCACCTGCAAGAAACTGTCTGGAAGCACACCAAGTACGATCGCTGGCAGCTTGGCGACATCCTGATGATCGACAACTTGGCCATCTCTCACGGCCGACAGGTAATGTTACAGTGGGCCAAACACAACGTACGGAGTAGCCAATTTATCTGAGAACGCTACTGCAATACACTGTTGTTCAGGCAATTACTATTATAGTTGCACACAAAGTATATGGTCAAGGAGATCACGTTCTCCCCCTCCCCCTACATTCACCCTCATCATATGAAGCCATGAGAAATTTACAAGCAAGAACGATTTCCCTTGTTCCGTGTGTGTGTGTGTGCATTGTGCAGCCGTTCACAGGAAAGCGCAAGATAGTGGTGGGATGGGCTAATCCGCTACCGAAAGAAAACAAACCCATTGACGACTTCTCATGAGTGGTCTCAGTATGCTTAGTCATGATCCCTCAATCCAATCCAGCAAAACAATTTGTTTGAAATTCATACAGTTCAATGCGTATGAAAAGTATATCTTGTGACAGCAGGTTTATTAGTAGAAAGATAATGATTTATCATGGCATGCCTTCCAGTTCGGATAATTGTTTGTTTTATTGCTGAGATTTTCGAAAGCTGGTACGATCCTTCATGCTTTCTTTCTTGCCGTTAGATTTTTAACAATTCACAATGATGTCAGAGTACTAGTGGCAGTGAAATCGTTGCCAAAGTTGATGAAGACACGCTAGGCATGACATTTTTTCATGATAACATCCTGTCGGCATCGCTTTTTATTTTGTTAGCCGAAGGCTGCTGTTAGTAAACACTTTAGAAGTCCCTCACAAGCTGTTGTGAGGAAAATATTTCATGTCCATCCTTACGCTATCATTTTCGTGAAGTAATTCAAGGACCCTAGCCGTGATGCGTGGACTGAATTTCTGCTACAAGCCACATAACAGGGCCGGCCTGTGCATTTGTTGTATTGGTCCGCGCCATACCACAGTCGTTCACAGTTTGTGTATGTCATGGCGGCTACACATGACCGCCGCAGTAGATAGCACACGTAGATCTACGTTGGTGGCCAAAGAGTTGGTCCAGCCATGGCCTGACCAAATGGCCAGACCAAACGCACTGGTTCCGCTGCCCATGCAAAACCAGATGCAGAACATGAAACCATGCATACACTGCAGCGCGTTAACGAGACAGGAATGACTCCAGAACATGAAACCATGCATAGACTGCAGCGTGTTGACGAGACAGGAATGACTCTAACGACCTTCAGGTCTCGGTTTTGCTGTCAATCCTGCGTGCCAAATTAGGAAGAAAGAAACCGTTTTAACAATTCACTTAAGAACGGGATAGAATGTAGGTAAAGAGATTAAAGAAGATTAAAAGAAAGAAAAATGGAGAGGGAAAATGGGAGTATCTGGATAAGAAGAGTGGCTGTGTAAACGGTAGTCACAGATGGCTGGTTGCCTGCAGCCTACAGGTTTGCAGAAAGTGCTTGTCCGACAAATATATATCACAGGCTGTTCATTGCATGCCCACACTACAGCCAGTGGCTTAGCAAAAAGGTGTTCGGAAGTGGGAGGGGGGGGGGGGGGGACAAAAGGATGAGAGGGATTCATTTCAAGAATCGTCTTCATCTTCCAGTCCACACTCTTCGATTTCACAATCCTCAGCTTCACAGCGGCGTATCAAAGCCGCCTCCTCATCGTCTCTGCCTGCTGTGAATTCAGCAACTGCCTGCTCATCACTGGTTGCAGCCTTCGCAGCCTCATCACCTGCATCCGTGATCCATTTGTCATTGCCTGTAACGCTACGCAGTCCTCTTGCGCCAAGCATGTACCGCTCTGATTGCAAGCTGCGGCACACACTGTACTTTGTCCAGTCGTTCATTTTCATTATTCCGTTCACGGACTCTGTCTTGCATATCTCTACCAGCTCTTCCATAGTATCTATGCGGCAAGTCTTACACAGAGTGGCGAAATGCTCACAGTTGCTCTTGAAGATGTGGTAACTGCTGAACAAGTGCGGTTGGTTTTTGAGTAACCAGCGTGCGATGTCGGCAGCATGTGAACGTGGAGCATCCTGTCCCCGCAGCTCAACTGACTTGTTCCGTTCGTAGTCTGGTGATATGCCATCAATGCCATAGGGGTCCTCTGCTGGATGTTCCTGATTAGGGGTTTCCCCTAAGTAGGAGTATACCAGCACTTTCTTATCTCGATACTGCATGAACGTGCCCAGATCATGGTGAATGATTTGGGATGAGAACAGCGAAGAAAATCCTCCCAAGCCCTTCATGACCACCTCCCTCGCCCTGCGTCTAACACCTCCAGGTAGAAAGAGTGGCGTCACGTCTCTCTTTTGAGGCCTTTCCTTCGATGGTCGTCCGAACTGAATGACTTTCTTGTTGACTGCATCATAAATTCCTTCATAGATAAGTATGACACACATGAAAGAGGTGCAGCAATTTAATAAGGGAGACGATATGTGTGTGGACACTGACATAACAATTAGGATCAGCCAAACCAATATATTGTTTGTTTGTTTGTTTCTTTTATTTGAATTCGTTTAGAGCACAGGCAATTCTGCCTTCTCACCAGAGGAAAAACCTCCGGTTCCTGCTAAGAACGAATATAATATTATGAGAGAAGGAAATATTAAAAAGAATCATAACATGATAATTCCAAAGCACAAAGTTTGTATATAATTCAAATGGGTGTGTGTATGTTGCTTAGATCGTGCCTATAACTTAAGTATAAGCATCGGTAGTGGATGAGAAAGAACAAAGCGTTGTGTCAAGTTGGATGACTACCAGATCCTTAACATGGGTTCCATACATGTACATGTACATGTGGGCATTCCAAGAGGCACACATGCATGTACTGCATAGCAGGAAAGTTTCGGACGGAAATATTTTCGGACAAAGCCGAACTTCGACCTTTGGCACAGATTACATATTCGTACAGTGCTGCATCAGTGCATGCTAAATAAACGTGTTTGCAAGCAGTATGTATGTACTGCTGCATGTATAGAGTACATAATCTCACATGAACAAACTTTAGTACGGAATTAATTTCAGTGCAAAAAAAATAGTACGAAAATAAATTCCTTCTGAAAATTTCCTGCTTTACAGTATATTGATAAATCGAATAAGCTTGCACACCATGAGTATATAATGTACATGTATGTCATTTGTGCAATTGGGAGTAGCGGTCAAATAAGTGCATAGGGTCGACAATTACTGCCTCGATATGTCGCAGCTGAACCGTGACTCGAGTTTGCTACGGCTTAATTTAAAAGCAGTGCACCAGTAATGTACTTGTACATGTACTGCAGTCAGTGTGTACAGTGTGCTATGGGCATGTACTTGTACATGTACTGCAGTCAGTCAGTGTGTACAGTGTGCTATGGGCATGTACTTGTACATGTACTGCAGTCAGTCAGTGTGTACAGTGTGCTATGGGCATGTACTTGTACATGTACTGCAGTCAGTCAGTGTACAGTATCCTATGGGCATGTACTTGTACATGTACTGCAGTCAGTGTGTACAGTATCCTATGGGCATGTACTGCAGTCAGTCAGTGTACAGTATCCTATGCGTATGTAGTACTATGTACACTTGAGCGCTATCTTCGGGTGCACGGTTACATGTGACTCTGGTCTAGCAAGTTTAACACGTATGACACTTTCTGGCTAGGACACACCTGAGCTCGAAATTCCACCAAGTTTGTCATCGCCTGATGCGTTGTGACCAAAATTAATACTTTACCGCCATTTTCAACCTAACAATCTTCTGATTTTTGTTGGTTAGAGACGTGAAAATTGATTGTAACGAATTCTGGATATCAGACCTAGCAAATAACTGTGCATATGTGTAAATTCGGAAACACTTTTCTCAAGGTTTGGAGACTCCACTGTAGCCAATACTTGAATCCATACATCCTGTACACTGTCTATAATCCTGATGATGGGCCTTGCCCGAAAATTTGAGCTAATGTATATCAATTGCAGTGTAGCCTAGAGACCGTTAGAGAGAGTGTGTACAAGGTGTGTGTACAGGATGCATGGATATGTGTAAATGTACATTGTTTTGTAGAATACAAACTCAGAATTTACCGAATTATCTCAATTTGTCTATAATCCGAACTTACAACTTGTTTAAAAACATCGTTTGATTTAAGAAAATGTTCGTTGATAGAAGTGGTCTTACAAGAACACACTGGCTTGACCCGATTTGGAATTCATTTCAGCAGTAGGCAAGAGTGCTGTGCAGTGAGGTGAGTTAATACGTAGTACGAACACCACCCGTGATCGTCAACAGCGAATAGCGCTTACACTGGTGTCTTACCATGATGAGAATATCGGTACCGGACAGTCCCGTCTGCATTGGCAGTCTTCCTCTGCCACTTGAAACGGCGCACAAACACATGATCACCGTCTTTGAGCTCTGCCGCACTCTTGGCCACAATTTTGGGTTGCGCCTCCATCTCAAAGGAGAACAACTGCAACACACATCCAGATGTACATGTACATTGAGCGGTATGAGAATATGTCTGGCCTTGCACTGCACCAAGCCATGTACATGTATAATTATGTAAGTACCATAATGATCAAGTCTGCATTGCAGGTAACTACAAAAGTCCAATGAAGCAAATTAATTTCGTCGCAGCTCTACCCCCCCCCCCCCCCCCCCCGCTATTTTAAACTTTCTTTTCGGGACAGTATATTATTAAGAGTAGGATGAGTCGCACGGATCATCGAATAAAGCCTGCGAAAAGAAAAAAATTGCGTCTACTTGTAATTATATGAGCCAGAAGTGAAGCGAATTCAAATAAACATTAAAAAAAAGAAGAAAAAAAAGACGTCAATGCTAGGGTCCGGGTGCCACCATTTCCAATGAATGGACAGTGGTGTTCCTGCACTGTTATCAGGCTATACTATGTATAACCGATACGTAGGTCTACTACCGGTACCGGTAATAATCACATCTGATTTATTCATCAGGTCGAGGTAGTGGTAAAAGTCTTTATTATTTCAAGTACCAAATATTTGAATCTCTAGGCGTCTCGCGAGCTCAGTCGGCACAGCACGTTCGGTTTGCGTTTCGCGAGTCTGGTTGACCAGATTGGCGAAGTATCCAACTGTTCTCGTTTTTCGGCTCAGAGAAGAAATTTCAGATAAATGCAGAGCCACAACCGCGTTCTCTTCTCTCGATTATCGAGTGTCATACACGAACGTTACGTTCAATGCACAGCACTACATTGCTACTACTAGTGCTACAGGAGAGTAAGTGGGAGACTCGATACGGAACTACACGCAGGTACATGTACATGTACATGTACTTCAGATGGCAAACGAAGAGATTCTTTACCGCCACTTTCAACCTAGCAATCTTCTGAACAAAGAGAAAAGGAAGGAAGGAAGAGATTCTCGGACATTCTGATCCTGCAGATCCTGAGATGCCTTGATGGACCCACCTTACCTCACTGGCTTGTAGCGCTTACGATTCTTCCAATGAATGACGGCTGACTCACAACCTACTGATAAGTGATATGCAAAGTCTAAGACTACGTCTACGACTACAAGTAATCATGGTAATACTAATAGTAAATGACCTGGAATAGCTGGATCATGCTGAGCGATTCCTTTCCTCTGCAATGCCGAGCAGTTCCTTTCCCGCCACTCACTGTGGGAACTAACCCGTGTAGATACTAGTATACACCGTGGTGTAGACCTACCGTCCTAAGTCCATAGGCTTACTACGTGTAGTAGTAGTAGCCCCAAGGCTCTAACTCTAAGGCGTAACGCGCATCCTGTTTATAAAAGTGCGTTTTCATCATTCTTTTATTGTGTACTAGTACTGCGCTGCAGTGACTGCTAATGAGAGCCAGCCGGGCCTTGGCTTATCATTGCCTGATCTATAACAGTAACAGCTGACACTGTTACTGCGCGTATCAGTAGTATAATAGGTCTACAATGTACTGACTGTACTGTACATGTAGTCTAGTAAGGCTAAGACTTAGTAAGAGTACGATTGTACTGTACTCTGTAGTAGAGTCTACTTGTTTTTCCACCGCAGGACTGTACTTCTGACCTGCACGTTTCCGCAGGTGCTTGCAGGGGACTCCCCCGCCCCCCGCTAGGCAACACAGCTGTACAGGCAGGGAGAAGTGCACTGCATCATCAGATCATGCCTGCCAGTTTCCTGCCCGCGGCCAGGGGGGTCTGGGGAACGACTTCAACTGAGTTCAAGACAAGACGTTAGCTACATCCTCTTGAAGAGCATGAACTAGCCCTTTCCCAAAGGTGCTCACTTAGTGCTTTTCGCGCCCCTCAAAATATGCTGAAAAAGTGCTCTTTTTTTGTGAAACAGACAAAAAGTGCTCTTTTTTTCAGTGAAGCATAGCCATGAAAGGCCTTGATACATGTTCAGATATGAACCCAATGCCAAGCTGAGAAATGAATACGCACTCTTCGAAAGGCAAAACAGGAAGTAAAGCTCAAAACCCCCACTTTTTACAGCATTGTGTACACCGGGTACAAGCTTCACCAACTTGTTGCCCCCCCCCCCCCAAAAAAGGGGGCGTGCCAAGGCCCATCGAGCACTGGGAAAATGTGATCGCATGCATGAGCAAACAGATTTTAGCACTTTTTCAGCTAAAAAAGCTCAAAAAGGGCGATATTCACCAAAAAACGCAATAAGGGGCGAAAGAAACGGGCTTTTCCAAAAAGGGCGAAAAAAAGGGCGAGCACCTTTGGGAAAGGGCACACAATCAACAGTATTATTTTTTGTCGCATTAATTAATATTTCCTTCAAAATACATGTACATGTAGGACTCAGTGAGCAGTCACGTCTCGATGACCGATCACGATCCCCGTGACCAATCAAACAGTCACGAATCCCCGAAGAGCAGTCATAAAGTCACACACCAGTTTGAATCCCGATGACCAGTCAGAAACAGCCGCGACTTTCTCTGTGAACGGTCACAGGATCCACGTCAAAATATTACGACTCAACTGTAGGCATTCACGCGTTCAGCATACTTTTTTCCTTCACAGGTTTCAGAAGTGAGCAAGAAAGATTTCGATCAACTCTCGATCTCCGCGTAGTTTACTTACAAGTTGTAGCTCGAGTCTGGTGTGTGTGGGCTCCTCTCCAAAACGAAGGGTGGTCGAAAATCTTGCAGGCTTCAGATAGAATCTCTTTTGAGAGGACGTTCTGGCTAGTAGGTTGTGCTATTCATCATATTTGAAGAACAAACTTCGTCGTTCAGAAAAGCTATTTCGGAATATTTTCAGTCATGTAATTTTTGCATGCCGATCTTGCTAGAGCAGAGACTGACTTCAACTGATCCAGCATGCAAGCAGCACTCGATTTGTGTTTTTGGAGAGGATGGGTGACAAGGTTACGGAGTCAGACGTGGACATCGTCGACGATGCAGAGACGAAAATATAATGAAGATGGAAATGAAAATATGTTCATTTCCAAGAAGGTACTGAGTACATCAAGCACCTTCGTGTGTGTGGCTCTGTCTTTCTTGTGGAAGACTCCACAGAAAAACAATGTCCAGCTTGTTGAAACTGAAACTGCCTCTCAGTTGAAGTCGTTCAGGAAGACATCTATTCAAGACATCATTGATCCATTCTCAAGGACCATCGTAAGAAATTAAATCAAGTCATGTTTATCGATAAGAATGGCGAACTAGACCAGAGAAGTGTGAGTGTCTTGTTTTGACTGCAGGAAACTGTATTTCAACATTCTGGCTCAACGTAGTGCTTACGCAGTTTACTGCTTCGAACACATCTTCATTTCTACTCCCAAAATAACTCTGTCAAATTTATTGATGCAACATTATGCATCATGGTCTTTCTCGTTGTGCTGCTATAACGTGTATAAGTACATGCATACGAGTACTGTGTACCGTTTACTGTCTCCTTGTTTGTACTGAGGGCGCAACTCATTCTATTCATTGGGTTAATATCATTCTTATCTCAAACGGAAACGTTTTAAATTTTTCATCTTGCTAAGGCTCAATCTGCGGACGGAACTGTTTCGTCCTTTGGGGACTCATCAGCGCAGCGCAAATAGATGTTTTTACCATTATTTCACATCATCACTCCCTTGGTATTGACTCGTATGCCAACATCACTTGTCTTGATAGCCATATGACGCTGTTAATGAACACGTCGAAAATGTACATGTACATGTACATGTACGTATTTCTTACAAACTCGGATGTTGAGACAATAGCCAATAGTATTATATAAAGAGAAAAGGACCTATAAGTTACTAGTTATGACTAACCGTCCACCAAGGTAACCAAGGTAACGAGATAATATACAGTCAGATAGTGCGACAACAAGGCACAAAACTGACAAGGATATTGAGACATTCAACGACCTGACACCTAGCTCCAACACATTTACGAAGCGCAAACCAACAACCTTCCAATTGGGAAGGCTCAGGTGCGGAAAGTTCCAATGAGGGGAAGGGCTGCGCAACGAAGATGTGCACGAGCTATATCCCTCTGCAACAAAGAATGTCCAACGTTACGGGATGAATTGATGATGACAAGACTAGTAAGCCCACCATTGGACAAACCAGTCTTACTACAACTGGAAAACGCAAGGCAACAGACCACCCAACTTGGGAAACGCAAAGGTTAGTATGTACAAAGACATGAAGAGGGGAAGCCAAGCGAAGACGAACTATCACGAATCGAAAGTCAACCTCATTGGAAATTTCCGCACCTGAGCCTTCCCAATTGGAAGGTTGTTGGTTTGCGCTTCGTAGATGTGTTGGAGCTAGGTGTCAGGTCGTCGAATGTCTCAATATCCTTGTCAGTTTTGTGCCTTGTTGTCGCACTATCTGACTGTATATTATCTCGTTACCTTGGTTACCTTGGTGGACTGTTCGTCATAACTAGTAACTAGTAACTAGTAACTTAGAGGTCCTTTTCTCTCTACATAATGTAGTTCTTATTCTTATCAACCACCACACCACACCACACCACACCACACCACACCACACCACACCGCTGCGCTCTCCGGCCGACCTCAACACGTTGCCACAGCACACCATCAGCAAAACAACACTTCAGTTGGTACTCTGCTCCTTCAGACAGCAGCTGTTTCGATCATCAGGATCTCGTCAGTGAAGGTTGATAATGTAGAATGGCTAACAGATAGTGAACTTCACCCTTTTGCAGCGAAAAGGGGGGACACATAATGGCGCATCTTAAGGCGAAGATTAAGGCGCGAAGATTAAGGCTAAGCAAAGGCGATACTGATAGACTGCACTGAGGATACTAGTAATAGAATCTGGACAAGGCCGAATGCTGCTACTTACCCCTCTTAATCATAATTATTTAGTTCTTGTATTTCTTTATTTGAATTCGCAATTACGCACGTGAGCTATAAACCCAATATACATGAAAATATCCTGCAAGCTATTCATGAAATGTATAATTTGATCTGTACGATTTCTATTCGCCCACAGCTGGTTGGATCCAATAAAACCCCAACAAGATCAAACTCATTCTGGGTGCTGAAAAGGGGCTCTCGAAGCCCCTGAATACTTGTGCATATCAGTCTGAGCTTCATAAGCTATCAATGAGAATACTGAAGTTCGCAGCATGAGTGCAGCATTTTAAATTTTCATTTGCTTCAATTCTCTGTCCACACAAAACGACCCCAAATATGGGTATAACAGTGTCAGGTAATGTGCTCTGCATGACATATTTGCTTGTACCATGCAACTCAGGTAAAGACTAATAGCACTAGAGTCAACTTCGCTAATAACGACTATTCGCGAATAAGGACATAATTTTCATGCCCAGAGCAAAGTCCCAGTATCTTGTAGTATCTTGATCCTAGTTGCATAGAACAAGAAGTCCAGGCACAAGCTTAGGCTACACAGATTGTTGCAACTTTGAATTTCATGCCACACACACACTGTGACGGACACACACACACCACCATCACCACCACCACCACTGCCAGCTGCCGGAAATGTCACCGCCGCTCCCCGAAGGGAGGTACTGACACACACACGCACACACCCACCCACACATGCACACACCCACACACACTTGTACTTTGTCTTGCTCATTGCCATGACTGGTCACGCGAGTCTCCCCCGAAGAGAGGAGAAAGATTCAAAATAAATCTTGGAAAGATGACTTAATTGGCTATTGAACTGCCCAACGGCCATCACGACCTGAAATCCCCAACCTGTGGGTGGACTTGGAAATGACCCTACATATGGGCTGGCAACACCTCAGTAAGTGGGTGAGGACAAGGTGCAGAAAGGGGTTGACGGCATCAAGGTATCCGTCCACAGATCCAACTGCAATTACCCCTGCCCAAGTGAAGGCACACACACACACACACACACACACACACACACACACACACACACACACACACACACACACACACACACACACATACACGCACACACACACACACACACACTACTACTACTACTACTACTACTACTACTACTACTACTACTACTACTACTACTACTACTATGTACAGCTACCCTATCGGGCCACGCCGCTCCCAGAAGCGGGAGACAACGACAAGAAGAGAGAAGAGAAGAGAGAGAAATCGCAAAGTCAACAGTATTGGGCATGGTGTTGCAAGTCCTGTGGCCTTGAGAACCGCCTTTCGCAATGCTCGCATTCATGACGGCAGTTGTTCCTGGCTGCACGTGACATCCGTTTCGCACGGTCACATTGATGACGGCTCAAACCAGAACGGGAGCGGAAAGATCAGCGACAAACATCACATCGAAAAGAGCACACACACACACACTATGTACCATGTATACGCACGTCGCAAGAGAATCACGCAAATCTGAGAATGCACTGGATGTGCACCGACCGATTTTCTCTTTATAGCAACGATAGTGGATCTGATTCTGATAGAAACAGATCAAGACAAGCGTCAGATAACTGTCTAGTCCACACAACTGGCGAAGCCATGCACACACACACACACACACACACACACACACACACACACACACACACACACACACACACACACACACACACACACATCCCAACAAAGTTTCGCCTTTGTCCTGCCACTTTTATCAGTGGTTGACCTTACTAAATTACTGGCAAGGAACAGTTGAAAACAACGTGCTACTGTTAAGTTTCAACCATAGGAACGTGGTGACAGCCAGAGCAATGACACCAGTAGTAGTGCAAGATGCACCGAAGTAAAAGAACTTGCGGAAGGCAAGAACCAAAAAAGACACTGTGTGACACTTCGTGCACATTAGCGATGAAAGTTGACAGCAAAGATCTAGACTAGCTCTAGAAATATGCATACTTCAAAAGTACAATCCAGACTTCTCCATGCAGCAAGCAGCTAACAATTCCGGCCAATGATTCTGCATCAAAACGTGCTAGAAAAATTAACGGTTCGCGTGAGACTCGGCCTTCCGCCGATTTTTCCGCATCCGTAAGTACGCCACCACAGCTCCTAAACCGGTTGGAGGTGGGTAGATAAGACCCACCACAACGTGATGTGCAACTATAAACTAAAATGGAGTTGAACTGTTAGCCATGGCGACAGGTGCCATAGACACTAAGATAATTATGCACCTTTTGAAATATACTAAGAATTATTACGAATGTAGCCGCATGTTATAGCTAAATGTACAAGGGAAGGTTTTCAGTCATTGATATTTGAAATAGAGATAATGTTTAACTATTCAGTATACTATTACAGTTGCTGAAGCACACATGTGCACAAACTCAGCATCATATACATGTACATTCTGATTGAGAGAGTACGCGAGAGAGAGATAGAGAGAGAGAGAGAGATAGAGAGTGCGAGAGAGAGAGATAGAGAGAGAGATAGAGGGGGGGGGGGGGGAGGGGAGGGGAGAGAGAGAGAGATAGAGGGGGGGGGGGGAGGGGAGGGGGAGAGAGAGAGGAAAGAATGAGAGTGATTCATTTCAAGAATCGTCTTCATTTCCATACTCTTCGATTTTACAATCTTCATCTTCAAACGAGCTTATCAAAGCCGCCTGATCAAGCCAACCTCTTCTGCCATGTAGGAACCGCTCTGATTGCAAGCTGCGGCACAGACTGTGCTCTGTCCAGTCGTTCATTTTCATTTTTCCGTTCACGGACTCTTTCTCGCATATCTCCTCCAGCTCTTTCATAGTATCTACGCGGCAAGTCTTACACAGAGTGGCGAAATGCTCACAGTTGCTCTTGAAGACGTTGTAACTGCTGAAAATGTGCGGTTTGTTTTTGCAGAACCAGCGTGCGATGTCGGCAGCATGTGAAAGTGGACCATCCTGTTTATGCCGCCTACCTGACTTGTTCCGTTCGTAGTCTGGTGATACTCCATCAGTGCCAAATTTGTCGTCCTCTGCTGGAAGTTCTTGATTATCGTTTTTCCCCATGTAGGAGAATACCAGTACTTTCCCATCTCCGGACGTGAACGCGATCGGATCACGGGAAATGATTTTAGATTTGAATAGTTCCGAAACTTTACCAAAAACTTCCGCAAGCACTTTCCTCAAACTAGGTCCCACCTCTTGCTTGGGCTGCCTTTGGGGCAGCTTTTTGTCATCTGGGTCTCCAAACTCGATGACCGTGTGATTAGTTGCATCATAAATTCCTGCAGAGATAGGTATGACACACATGGAAAGAGACACAGCGATTTTACAAGGGAGAAAAGATGAATGTGGACACTGACACAGAATCAGCCAGAGTAATGGTTTGCAGAGATTGTGCCTACTTCGAAGTATAAGCATTGGTAGGGAAGGAGAAAGAACAAAGCGTTGTGTCAAGACTGATGATTAGCAGATCCTTGATATGGGTTGCATGTAGGCACCCCAAGAAGTACATGACTTTTGAAATGATTCGATTGTACTAGTGTCATAGCCCGAGAGTGAGAGCTTGTAACTATTACTTACTTCTGATAGCTACTGTGCGTTGAACGTGGACACACTATGTCTTCTGTAGTTGGAACAGTTATTGTACAATATACTACACGGTGTGTGCCAGCTATATCACCTACCTGTAGAATGATAGGTTTGGCTGTCAATAGATGAAGCACACGACTGTGCACTTGCGGTAGAAAGTGCAATACAATGTAATTATGAATTCACAATAATTATAGTAGTAGTACGCGAGGTGTGGATGAGTGTGAGTGCACCTACTTGACCACTTGGTTGGCAATGCTTTTAATCAGGTTATTGCGGTCCAGACGCCGGGTCTAGTCTCGCCCCTTTCTAATACTCTTTCACACTTTGCATATTTATGTTATCATGATGACCGCTGCTTCTAGATCACGCAGACCTGTACGTGTATGTGTGTGCGTGTGCGTGTCCGATCGCCGTTCCGTGCAGCGGACAAAGTAGCAGTTTAGCTGCATGTTTAGCAAGTACTATCGCTACTGCCGCTGCTTGCTGTTTTCTACAATGTGTTATATCATAGCATGCTGTTGCTTTTAGCGAGAGGTTCTTTCGGTGCTCTTCTTCCAAACACTGAACATATTCTCTGCTCTGACGAGATCAGTTGGTGTGTGTGTGTGTGTGTTGGGATTAGGATTGGGTGAAGTTGCGTTCCGTACCAGCCGTGACTATACTTGTCACAAAACGTTCCGAGGTTAGCGATCCAGCCAGACGAGACTAACCGGAACGCTGTCCGAGCGAGTTATCACACTAGTATACCTTTAGGAAACTAATAATTTACTTCACTTCTCAACTCCAAAATGTATGACCCTGATGTTGGGCTAGGCCCGAAAATTCGTTGTAATAATATAAAGGACAGGCTTTGCACAGCAAAGCGTATTTAGCCGACGCACCCACGCACAACTATGCACGTACATGTACATTCGAGGTAACAAGAAATTCGATCCGAGTGCGCGCCGCCGCAATGTATCATGCATAGGCCTGTGATTGGGCCCGATTATATTTGGGGTCCAATGTCACCCCCAAGTGCACGGCCCTATCGAACCAGCTCAGGCAGCAGCCTTGCAAGGCCTCGTTTACACGAAAACAATCGAAAAACGTTTTTCAATCGTTTTCGAAACGTTTTTGCTGTGTTCACGAAACGATAAGCGTGTACACTGCAATGCGTTTTTCGGCGCACAATGGTCACGTGCAATAGGCTGGCCTGGCGGCGGCATGTTTTGAGTATGAGGCTCGTAGTAGTAAAACGTTTTTGCCGTCTACACGAGAATCGGAACGAAAACGATTGATAAACACTTTGAAGGCCGTTTTTCGTTGTAACGTTTTGAAACGTTTTTCAGCGTGCTCGTGTCGTGTGCAAGCTCCTATCAAAACCTGTGGAGCATGGAAGCGTCTTCTTTTGAAAACGTTTTTGACAAAAACGTTTTTCAATCGTTGTCGTGTAAACGAGGCCTCAGTATCCGTAGCACTGCGCGCAAGTCAAATCGGCTAAACTTATCATAGTTCCGTTTTCAGTCTCCTGCATCCCTTTGAAAGTTGGCTTCAGTTGGTGCACTGCAACTAACTAACTTCTTCCCCATCCTCCCACCCTTGTAATTGTCAGGCTTCCCTGGAATGCAACATCTTAGTTGCTCGTGCTCGTTCAGCACTGTGATTAGAGACCTTTTGCAGACGGTCCGACTTTCGGTGAAATTTAATTTTCGAAGCCTGGGTCCGAGGACAGAAAGTCTCTCCGAAAATAATTCGTCCAGAACTAACTTCGCGAAACAGCCAGGCTGGCCGATAGTTGTTTTCGGTGTGCCCGCGCGATCGAGTCAGTAATTGACTACTCCCTGAGTGCAAGTTGTACTTTTTCTGTCTCTTTGTCCTGGGCGGGCATTTCTTGTTGTTTGTTAGTGTCAGTAACGGCAAACATTGCAGCTTCACGATCAAGTAGTTCTTCTTGTTCATCTTCCTCTCCTGTGCATGGCTCGTCATCCTTGAGCCCTGGGACGCCCACGACACCCACTGTGTCTTAGTTGGGGGCAGCGGATGCTTTCAACTTGCCAAGCTCAGGTCCAACAAGGGAATCCTCCAAGCCGAGGATACACTAGTTTCGATTTGGGCATGGACCTCATCCTTCTTCGCCAACTGCGGGCTGGGGAAAACCCATTTGTACGTGGTTCTTCTGGCTACGAGGACACTGCAGTAAGAGAAAGAAATGCGTCCTTTTCCTCTGATTCCATCGTCAACACCATGAGAATAGTGTAAACGACTTTTTGAATTTCTTCCTGGCAGCGCTATCGAGCAAGAGCCACGAAACCAGAATTTTCGAGCAAGAGCCACGAAACCAGAATTTTCGACCTGCAAAAGAAAGCTAGCACCGAATTTCACGCCACTTTCGGAACTCGGCCAAACGAAAGGTTGCACGAAATTCGGACTGCAAAAGGTCTCTATTGTCCTCGTGTTCTGTGTGTTTGTGCTGTACTAGGCCGTGCGGTGCCCATGTTTCTATCTGGCCGTGCGGTGGCCGTCTATTGCCGTTTGGCCCTATAGTGGCCATGTCTATGTAGGCATAGCCAGTGAGGCTGTGAGGTGGCCCCATGGTAACAGAATATCTGATGTATTGTTAACCATACTGGTCGGCATGCTGCCTGCATGCAGATAGGTGCTGATCAATCAATCAACGCCATGTAAGTGTCCAGATAATTTCCAATGAAATAAGCATTGCAAGCAACAATGGCTCTGTGTTCCTCGTTGCGTGTTGTGTATATGTGTGCATGGGTGCGTCAGATAATTTTAATTTTAATCGCAAGGAAGAGACCGTTTCGGATTTGAGAAGGGAAGTTTCCAAAATGCGTAAGTGTCTGCGTTGGAGTTTGCGGACAATTAGAAAATGCACTAGTATACCGATAAATCAAATAAGCTTTACTCGACGTGCATATTCGTTAGGCCAAAACAAAAAATAAACTTGTTTCTGGTTGGTACCCCCCCCCCCCCCCAAAGAAACAGACTCGTTCGGCTGGGAAAAACGATTTTTTGGTTGTCTTATTATTATTATTATTTAAATAGGCGTCGAGGCGACAATAGTTTTAGAATTGCGATCAACAGAACGAGCTGAACCGACATTTTCACAAAGGCTTTTATTGTATTCAAAAAACGAGTGTATACGAAGGCAGTGAAGAACATGGAAGAAAGAAAAAATGTGATATGGAAGAAATGATGAACCTACAATACCTACCTCAATATCAACGAGACCCAGAAGAACAACTGCTAATTACACCATGACCTATTTCAGTACGGAAGTACCGAGCCAACGGAATACACAACAGGAACGTGAGACGAGGGATGGGAGGAGACGGGACCTGATTGCTCCGAGGCAGGAAGTCGTTGAGGAGGATTCGGCCAGTGAGTCCAGTGATTCCGGTGAGTGTGAGAGCGAGAATGATCGTGTGAGTAAGAGTGGGTGCGAGCGTGTGTTTTCTAGTAGGAAGTCATCAGTGTATAAGCATCTTGCATCTCGTCCTGATTGCTGTAAGGTTTATTCTGATTCTTCTTTTTCTGTTTTGTGCCGTGCTCGTCATGGTTATAAGTTGCAGTTGAGTGTGTTAGAAGCCGTTTGTCAACGTATTCATAAGCCTAATCTGTGTGTCCAGAAGGACAGCATTATTCGTTTGAAATTGTTTTAGTAGCAACTTGTTCTGTCTGTTTGGCTCTGGTTGGCCATGGTGTCATATCTTGTGTCACAGTATACTAGTAGTCCTTACAAGTTCGTTAAGTGCTTTCGCAGTTTTTCCTGTTATTACCTTAGTGCTAGGATTATCATTTTCATAGGTGTTGTTTCTTCTCACTCCATTTCTCTTTATTAGTATCTTTCTGGATTGTTTTTCATTAGTACAACGTAGCTTCCTGAGGAGTGTTGTGCGAAAACTAGTTCGAAGTACAATTTTTTGTTCATCATTTCTTCCATATCACATTTTTTCTTTCTTCCATGTTCTTCACTGCCTTCGTATACACTCGTTTTTTGAATACAATAAAAGCCTTTGTGAAAATGTCGGTTCAGCTCGTTCTGTTGATCGCAATTCTAAAAATATTATTATTATTATTATTACTTTCCCTCAAACCAGTTAATATTTTATGACTTGGGGCTCCCCGCGTGCTAGTTTGTACGTGAAGTGTGTGGGTTACAGTGAGGGCTGCGTCCCACCCGCCTGTGTGGATTCACAGGAAGTGTGAGTAACGAAGTCTGAAGAAAATGTTGAACGGCCTCTGCTGGGATGGCGACTACACCATAGCTCAGTGGTTAGAGCATCGCTGGCTACAAGCGAGGGTCCCTGGTTCGAGTCCTGGTGGTGACAGTCAATTTTTTCGTCAGACTTTTCCCGTTTGTCCCTTTCCCTCAAACCAGTTAATATTTTATGACTTGGGGCTCCCCGCGTGCTAGTTTGTACGTGAAGTGTGTGGGTTACAGTGAGGGCTGCGTCCCACCCGCCTGTGTGGATTCACAGGAAGTGTGAGTAACGAAGTCTGAAGAAAATGTTGAACGGCCTCTGCTGGGATGGCGACTACACCATAGCTCAGTGGTTAGAGCATCGCTGGCTACAAGCGAGGGTCCCTGGTTCGAGTCCTGGTGGTGACAGTCAATTTTTTCGTCAGACTTTTCCCGTTTGTCCCTTTCCCTCAAACCAGTTAATATTTTATGACTTGGGGCTCCCCGCGTGCTAGTTTGTACGTGAAGTGTGTGGGTTACAGTGAGGGCTGCGCCCCACCCGCCTGTGTGGATTCACAGGAAGTGTGAGTAACGAAGTCTGAAGAAAATGTTGAACGGCCTCTGCTGGGATGGCGACTACACCATAGCTCAGTGGTTAGAGCATCGCTGGCTACAAGCGAGGGTCCCTGGTTCGAGTCCTGGTGGTGACAGTCAATTTTTTCGTCAGACTTTTCCCGTTTGTCCCTTTCCCTCAAACCAGTTAATATTTTATGACTTGGGGCTCCCCGCGTGCTAGTTTGTACGTGAAGTGTGTGGGTTACAGTGAGGGCTGCGTCCCACCCGCCTGTGTGGATTCACAGGAAGTGTGAGTAACGAAGTCTGAAGAAAATGTTGAACGGCCTCTGCTGGGATGGCGACTACACCATAGCTCAGTGGTTAGAGCATCGCTGGCTACAAGCGAGGGTCCCTGGTTCGAGTCCTGGTGGTGACAGTCAATTTTTTCGTCAGACTTTTCCCGTTTGTCCCTTTCCCTCAAACCAGTTAATATTATTATTATTATTATTATTATTATTATTATTATTAGGTCTCTTTCCCTCAAATCAGTCATTATTATTATTATTATTATTATCAATGGTCCTGATGCTTGTATACAAAGTGTATGAGTGCTATCCGTGGGTGCGCGATCACCTGCAAGTCGGGGCTAGCAAGTTAGGATGTCCGGCACTTTCTGGCTGGGACACGCCTGAGCTCAAAACCCCACCAAGTAAAGTGTATGTCATCGCTGGATAGCGTTCACCAGAACTCCCTCCTTTGACCCCTATGCGGAAGTCATAAGGGCTACCCAGGAGTATAGTGCAGCGCAGTGAGGTGAGTTGCTATATGTACACCACACATGATTATCAATGGTTAGCAGCGCGTGCACTGGTGACTTACCGTGATGTGAATACAGGTATTGATCAACGCGGGTTCCATCCACAATCGTCCTCTGCCACTTAAGCTTACAACGGCGCACAAACACATGATCACCATCGTTGAGTTCTAATGGCCATTTTTCCACAATTTGGGGTGCCGCCATCTGAAGAGAGAACAAGTAAAGCACACATGGAGATGTACAGTGACCAAGCGAGTCAATGCCACGCACGGTGCGGTGCAGCCCCAGACCTGTCAGCACTGGGACGTGCACTGGTACATATGGTGCAGGGCACCAACTTTACTCACGCGATCCAATTATTATGTCATTGAGAAGCACTGTACATCATTGCTTTGTAACTTGCTCATCCCTTCCCCTTTTGCGTACGTGATTTTCTTTTCTTCTCTTCTTCCGTGGTTGGTCTCACCCTCTCCTCAATTCAATTGGCTGTCTTGACATGCTACGAGGAGTAGAGATAATTAAATAATTAAATAAATAAATCATGGTACAGGTACAGCATACATTGATCGTTTGCCAATCTGTACCAGATGAGATCTGGCTTCTTCCTGGACTAAGCCACGCAAGCAAAAGTAACTTAGTTAGAGAAGGAAAAGATCAAATGTCCCCCCTCCGGGTATGTACTAGCACTCGCTGGTCTTGCCTTCGTAACTGAATGAAGCTGAGACGGTCTGTTGCAGGTTGAGCCCTACTGGCACAGCCACCTTGTGTGGTTACTACCATTGGCTGTCCCTGGTCCTTCTCGCTTCTTTTCTCTCATTCAATAGATAGGATTGTCTTTGAAAAAAAACAATCACACTGAAAAACCCATGCCATCAGATGATTCCATTCGTGCAGATTAGCATTCCTGCACTGATAGCGGTGTCATTAGGCCAAACCAAAAACAAAATAGGCTTGTTTCGGGTTAGCAACTCCTCAAAAAGGAGACTCGGTCGGCAAGAATGAAACTTTTCTTGGATACTTTTTTTGGTTCCTCAATCATTGTGGTGTTGATGGACAAGAACACCTACACATGTACATAGTCATTGTACATACATGTATATCATGGCAAGGATCAATGGCAAAGTTGACTGACTCACTGTTCTTGTACAGCCTGCGGCATTTGGTGTATTCCTGTTTTCGTACATCCTGAGAAACCAAGCAAACGGTTCGAGTGCTTCCAGCTCCGTTATTCTAGCTCGTATCGACCCCCAGGGTTTTCGAGCCGACAGCTGAGATTCTCTGCTACCTTGTGGGTATTTCGATTGTGGAATTCGGTTGAGATTTGACTGAGTTATGACTCGTTGAGTGCACTTGCACATATGGCATTGGCACCATTCGTATAACTGGTATACATTTGGGACCAAAAAAAGTTCAGAATAGGGCTTGAAAGTGCTACGTCACAGCATAGCAACAATTTCAAAAATTCAAAAACTGGATCCACTTGGATCCAGTTTTTGTATGGATCCAAGCACATTTCAAGCGGTCTTACCCACAGCATGGTGGTGTAGCCAGTGAAACTGACTGATTTGGCTACTGGGGGCGGGGTTACAACTGGTGGCGAAATAAAAGTCACACCTGCATGCGACATGAGTGGGTTGCTATGCACCCACATACTTAGGCAATAGTGGGAAACACCCTAGTAAAATAAAAGTTAATAATAATAATAATAATAATAATAATAATAATAATATTAACTGATTTGAGGGAAAGAGACCGAATAATACTATTATTAATAGCAAAGTCACACCTTAGTGGATCCAAAATTAGAAATCTGATGTCAACTTACTACTCCCTGGCCGTTTTGACGTCATCACTTTCAAGCCCTATTTGGGAAAAGGTGGCCCGATCGGCCGACTGTAAACAAGGTCGGTTAATATGAATTTTGTTTTGGCCTTACAGTCGACCAACCCTTATAACGATATTTGCATCCGACCAAGAAATATTGTTATAAGGGTAATATTGTTATAAGGGTAACTGGTTCATTCATACACATACGTCACAATGCATGAATTTAGTTAGTTTTTTACACTCTTCATAGCGTCAACAACTCTTAAGGTACAGTGTATGTACAATGCACATTATGTACACAGCAAGGTGCCCACTGGTGCCCCCATTGCATTTCGTCATGTCCCAGCGACTTATCAAGTGAAGCTTGCCCTACCTTGACAGTGGATTTTACATATTCCCTGCTGGATATTGTTATAAAATGGAAAATGTCGATTGGTCAGCCCATGTTATATTGTTATAGGGGTAATATCGTTATAGCAACATTGTTATAGAGGTAAGGCATTGTATACAAAAGTCAATGGAGTGATTTGGTTTGGCAGAAAAATATCCTTATAAGGGGTTATCGTTATAAGGGTAGGTCGACTGTATTGAAAAAACCACACCATACTCGTAAACCGATATTGCGATAAGCAATAATAATCGTCACTTGTCTCGGCCGGCACAGCACGTTCGGTTAGCTTTTTCCGAGTCTGGTTGGCCAGATTGGTGGAATATCTGTCACGACTCCTAGATTCTATGCACTGCAGGCTACGGCGTGAAAATTCCGGATTGCAGAAGCACACACACGCACGCACGCACGCATGCACACACACCACACACATGCACCTATGTCACATAATGTAGACGCGCGCGTTTATCAGTTCTCTTTTTTCCATCATGCAGTGCCTGCCACACACGCCCGTACCGCAACACTGCAACACTGCAAGTAGACTCGATACGGAACTCCAGGCGGTCTACTTCAGTACTTTAGAGATAGAGTGCAGTGGAATACTGCGGATTCTCGGACACTCTTGATTAGTGCACCAACATTGTACTAATTTGTAGGTCCAGAGTCCTTACCTCCTTGATTCACTCCTGACGCTAGCGATTCTGGTCGCGATTCTTACAACGAGTGACCGATGACACACTGCCTACTGTCTGATGAGTAATACATAAGACTAAAAGTAACACTAGCGGCTGGTCCAGACTCCTCTTTGCCACTTCTTCACGATTTGATTAGTTCTACTTTGAAGTACACAGTCACAGAATCTACAAGTAGTTCAACTACGCGGTTACTTTACTTCTTCTGACCTACCCGTGCTACATGTAGCTCACGACTGCCTACAAGTACAAGTACAAGGCTACATCGTGCATCCGATCCGGGCCGCGCGCATACTATTACTAGTAGTACAGTGTTGGCAACTGAAATCCGACCTCCTGGGCGGCGCGGCGCCCCGCCCAGGAGGTCGGATTTCAGTTGCCAGCACTGGAGTAGTACAGTAGTACTGACTGTTGTCGACATGGAAATCCGGTCGCACGTCTAGCGGCCCCAGGCCCAGGCCCAGGCCAGGGTGCTGGCCATGCAGCCGTGGAATAAGCGGTACACACATGCGCATACAGCTGAGCGGTGTCAAGCCCAGTTGATGTCCTGCTGTCCCTTTTACAAACCCTTGTCTGGCCTAGGGCCCTGCCCCATCAGCCAGGAGCTGACATACACTGACAGGCAAACAGCTATAATACTAATCTTAGATTTAGAATGACAGCGACGTTTCCCAGGAAGTCAGCATGTGTCACGATTTTTTACGCCGCTGCGCTGCATGAATCTGTCAACGACGTTTCCCAGGAAGTCAGCATGTACATGTGTCACGATTTTTTACGCCGCTGCGCTGCATGCATGCATGCAGCTCAGCCGCTTGCAGCGCGCTGGCCGCTGGCGCTGGCCGCTGGTCGCATCGGATCAACAGTGACATAATCATTATGAATTTATGCCCTGCATGCATGGCATGCACGGCAGCTAGCAGGCCGGGTACGCGACTACGCGGGGGGTACGGGAGTCTTACTCTTAGGGGCACTCCGGCTTCATTTTCGACCCCGAGTTTTCGATGCCAAGACGAAGGTACCGTATTTCCTCGATTAATAGACCCGGTCTTTTGTTTTTTGAAGAGGGTTGGACCCCCGGTCTCTTATTTGGGCATGGTCCATTATTTGAGCACGGTCCGGTCCACTATATTAAGTATATTTTCATCGGCACATCGCTGGAAATGGTGGGTATAAATTCTATATTATGACGAGTTAAAAACCCACCATTTCCAGCGATGTGCCGATGAAAATATAGTGGACCGTGCTCAAATAACGAAAGAAAGCATTAGCCACTACAAAAATTGTAGTTGCGCAACCTAAAATCGCGTCCTTTTTTGATCCGCCACGTGCTTTCTTTGTGCGCATGCGCAAAGCGATGAACTCAAATAAGAGACCGGGTCTCTTATTCGGGCATGGTCTACTATTTTTCCGTGAGGCCTTAGATCTCTAGGAGGGTCTACTATTTGAGCATGGTCGAGCATGGTCCATTAATCGAGGAAATACGGTAGGTGAAAGAGAAGACCCCTCGAACAAGAACGAGTCTCCAGAAGCGATCGAGTCGAGCAGGAAGACGACTTTTGAATTTCGCCGAGCGAGCGCTGATGACGTAATGAGGGATTAGCTTGCCAGTGCAGTGGCAGTGGAAATGCACCTGCGCACATACATTTCACACACTTTTTGGCCAATTTTCAATCGAAGAGGAGGTTGTTTGCTATGTTCTTTCGACGATGTGAGCGATCCCGTCTTCTATACCCTTCCAGGTACCCTGAAGGTCCTCCAGAGGAGAATTTATCTCCAACAAAGCGTTGTTGATCCGCTAAATTCGTCTCGAGACATATTCAACCAGTGCAGTGCTGATAAATGTAGAATGTTGAATCTGTGATAATTGTCGACAATGGAGAGAGAGGTTGATAGCCGCTGTCGCAGGGAGAGTGAAGCTGCTGGAAGTAACAACGGGGAGCCCGTTTGTATCACCTGAACAACCAGACTTCAAAGCAGCTTGACCAAATCGGAGGGTGCCTCGTTGATTATAGTGAATATTACACTGACATGAATTACTACAATTACAAGTATACTGGTGAGTTTTTATCTTGTTTTGTTCGTATGCTAGTACCCTGGCCTGGAGTTCTCGTTAGCAAATTCCTATTCCCTGGCGTTTTCTAAACATTCCGTGTAGCACTGAACACGTGATCAAGTATTCCGATTTGGGTAGATGTGGAATTTGGATATGCGTTTTGTAAAAAAATTCTATTTTCCAAACAGAGCGTTTGTAGAGAAATGGTTGCCCAAATACAACAAAATTGATTCTGCAGTTCTACAACTTGTACTGAAATCCAGGGAACGAATGCCCATTTGGTGGGGGATACCAAAGTACTCGAAAGTGGTGCGTGTTTCAATGTGGCATTTGGAAGTTTTATATGATCTCTGGTCAATGCAACATACGATAGCCATCATGAATTGCAGGCCTCAACGCAACTCAGACCAGAATTGACAGTTCCCTAAGTTAGATGCTTTATAATTGCATGGCCCTAGCTGTAGTTATAGAGGTTTTTGCACATTATTCTTTTAGTCGATAGGTTTATACTGATGCAGTGATCTAGCCAAAGCCGGCTCAGCCAGCACAATGCCGGCTGGGAGGGCAACCTGCCGGCTGAGACAGCTCCAAGGGTAATTTTGGCCAGCTGACTGGCTACTCAGGCTCAGTGCTAGCTCTTCACTCAAGCTCAAATGCACTTGAGTATGCACTTGAGTACGTCAGTAAAATGTAACAGGTTGGGTCATGGTTCGCTGCTTCTGGTGGTGTACACGGCTGTGGCTAGGCTGGGTCTTGTCAGATGACCAATGTACACTGCATGCAGACATGACCTTGGCGAACACATGATCCAATGCTCATGTAGCTGCTTGCTTCCTTTTCATAGCCAGCAATCGCATGTCATCTCGTACATTGAAAATCAACATAATTTTGCGAATCGACCTTTTTTTCAGGATCACTTTTCAACGAGGACGAAGCAAAGTCGGCCGAACGAAGCCTGGAGGAAGAAAATCACCCTCTCCACTTCACCATCACGATACTGACATAGATACTAGATGAAACAACTAAAAAATCCACAAGAAACCTGTACGACCATCATCGCGCTGACTTTGGTCTGACTTTGGTCTGAGAATTTCTATCACGATCAAAAATGTACGAGGAGCACTCAAAAATCAGCCACAGACGTACCTTTATCGCTCTCTACTCCTTTTTCAAGGCACAAAAGTCGACTCTCCACTTTCAAACCAGGAACCAGACATACCAGTGGTCCTTTTCAGCTGCTCCACGAGCGCAGGAAATGTTCACCAAGGGGCGCAGAGCAGCATCCATTCCAGAAAAAGAGCTAAAATACGAGTGAGACTGCATGCCTGAGTACATGAGTACATGTATGAGTACATGCAGAAAATGGTCAATTTCAGCGTTTCTGCTCCAAACAGCAACTAGCTTCGACTAGAAACAAAGATTACACCAAAGGATCAAACAACAACCATTTTCTGCAGTTTTTTTGCAGATGGCTTCCTTGTGCTTGGCCCAGCACGCCAAAAATCACACCTCGGAGGAGTACAAAAATTACAACTCTCAGATGTCCTCGATTGCTGGCCATGTTCATATTTTGTTAATTTACCTATAAATCACATTGTCACAACTGCCTGATGAATGCCCATAATTGGACGAAGCGAAAGGAGATGCAAGCTGCAATGAAAGATTTGTAGTGGTGTGTGTGTGTCTGTGTGGATACGTGACTGATGGCGGGGGTCTGGGGGCGCAGCCACCAGAACGATGCATTTTAAATAGAACGTTGGCCGGCTGGCATAAAATCCTGGCTAGACCTCTGCTGATGGCCACAAACAACGGCAGTTAAAACTTCACTGATGTGTTTATGAGCTGAGAGATTTCTCTCCACTATTTCTGTTGTGCACACAGGTCTGTCCAATGTGCATTGACCGTATTGGGTATGGTATCTGCTATGAGAAGGGAATCGCTGGAGCCACAGTCCAACTAGACAGGCTTTCAAGAAACAGAGAGGAGCTATCTTTGCAAGCTGATACCTGATGTGTACCGACAGAATTCTCACGAGATACCTTACGGACTACGTCTGGTGTATACTTGATAGTACTCCTTCGACTACTGTCTAGAATCAAGTCGACTGAAACAAGTTCAAGCAACTCTGGCTTCAAACGAGCCGTAGATTCGACAAACAAAACATTCTCTCATAATACTAGAGCACTCTGACAACTCCCGACCTATTCCTAACGATTGCCACCGCTTATAAATATGTAGAGTGCTGATTGGAATGTGCTCATAATCTCAACAATTCAGTGCTATAATTATTTGAACAATGTGTTAGAAATTATTCCACTTTTCCTTCCACAAATGTTGTATCCACATATAATCCACAGTGCTTCAAAGTTTCAGAGTTTTCGGGGTATCAAACAAAATTATTTCAAATACAGCGAAATTGTTCGTGGACATTATAGCGTAACTTGTAGTTCCCTGGTCCTTTTCTTTGCTATACTGAATTAATCCTTTGCTCTCTAGCCGCCGGTGAGTCCAACAGTGAAATTGTTAGTTCATATTTTTATAATGTGGGTATGTAGGAGGGGGGGGGGGGGGGGGTTGAACATATTTCTATATAAGGGACCTGCAACTGTAATACCACAGTATAGTAGCTGGCAAATATGTAGAAAACAAAAATGCATGTTACCATCATTGTACATGGACGGGCGCAGCAGGCCGAAGCTATCAGCCAGAACAGGACTTACAATCACTTAGAGATACTTGAGCTATTCCAGTATTCTCCGTGAGCTGTCCCATTCCACAATGGTTCATGCCACCATTATTTCTGGTAGTATCCATGTGCATAATTCCAAGACCATCTCGGATTCTTCAGCAATTTGTGCCACGGCAAACGACAACGCTTGACTTTGTCACTGGGGCTGTCAAATTTCCCATCACAAATGAACTTCAATTTCTCATCTGTTTCAAGTACATGTATATGTACTGCCATGACTTGACCATGCTTCATCCACAGCTGCGCGAAGATTGTGGCATCGAATTCCATAGCGCACCTTCTTGCTGCCATGCAGGAGTATGTTGAGAGAAGTGAACATATTTTTACTAAAAAACAACAGCCACTGAAGAGGATAGCAATAGCCTTGGGTGAATTTCCTGCAGGTACACGTTGTTTGTAGGTCTACTGGTCCGTCTCCATATCGTCAAGTTCAGAAATCACCTGTACTACACTACACATCTTGTAGAAGGCTCGAAGGGATCCTGATCGAATAATTTCTGGTCATAAAATTCACTAAACTGAGGGCGAGATAAATAGTAAGTACTCCCCGATTCCGCCAAGCTGCTTTGAAGTCTGGATGCTCATGTGATGCTAACAAGCTCCCCGTTGTTACTTCCAGCAGCTTCACTTTCCCTGCGACAGCGGCTATCAACCTCTCTCTCCATTGTCGACAATTATCACAGATTCAATATTCTACATTTATCAGCACAACCTTCCTATTGGGAGGGCTCAGGTGCGGAAAGTTCCAATGAGGGGAAGGGCTGCGCCACGAAGATGTGCACGAGCTATATCCCTCTGCAGCAAAGAATGTCCAACGTTACGGGATGAATTGATGATGACAAGACTAGTAAGCCCACCATTGGACAAACCAGTCTTACTACAACTGGAAAACGCAAGGCAACAGACCACCCAACTTGGGAGACGCAAAGGTAAATATGTACAAAGACGTGAAGAGGGGAAGCCAAGCGAAGACGAACTATCACGAATGGAAAGACAACCTCATTGGAACTTTCCGCACCTGAGCCTTCCAAGTTGGAAGGTTGTTGGTTTGCGCTTCGTAGATGTGTTGGCGCTAGGTGTCAGGTCGTCGAATGTCTCAATATCCTTGTCAGTGTTGTGCCTTGTTGTCGCACTTTCTGACTGTATATTATCTCGTTACCTTGGTTACCTTGGTGGACTGTTCGTCATAACTAGTAACTTATAGTTAGAGGTCCTTTTCTCTCTACATAATGTAGTTCTTATTCTTATCAGCCACCACACCACACCACACCACACCACACCACACCACACCACACCACACCACACCACACCACACCACACCACACCACACCACACCACACCACACCACACCACACCACACCACACCACACCACACCACACCACACCACACCACACCACACCACACCACACCACACCACACCACACCACACCACACCACACCACACCACACCACACCACACCACACCACACCACACCACACCACACCACACCACACCACACCACACCACACCACACCACACCACACCACACCACACCACACCACACCACACCACACCACACCACACCACACCACACCACACCACACCACACCACACCACACCACACCACACCACACCACACCACACCACACCACACCACACCGCTGCGCTCTCCGGCCGACCTCAACACGTTGCCACAGCACACCATCAGCAAAACAACACTTCAGTTGGTACTCTGCTCCTTCAGACAGCAGCTGTTTCGATCATCAGGATCTCGTCAGTGAAGGTTGATAATATAGAATGGGTAACAGATAGTGAACTTCACCCTTTTGTAGCAAAAGAGGGGGGGGGCACATAATGGCGCATCTTAAGGCGAAGATTAAGGCGCGAACATTAATTATAAGCAAAAGCGATACTGATAGACTGCACTGAGGATACTAGTAATAGAATCTGGACAAGGCCGAATGCTGCTACAAGTACTTACCCCTCTTGATCATAATTATGTAGTTCTTGTATTTCTTTATTTTGAATTCGCAATCACACACGTGAGCTATAAGCCCAATTACATGAAAAATATCCTGCAAGCTATTCATGAAATGTATAATTTGATCTGCACGATTTCTATTCGCCCACAGCTGGTTGGATCCAATAAAACCCCAACATCAACCTCATTCTGGGTGCTGAAAAGTGGCTCTCGAAGCCCCTGAATACTTGTGCATATCAGTCTGAACTTCATAAGCTACCAATGAGAATACTGAAGTTCACAGCATGAGTACAGCATTAATTTTCATTTGCTTCAATTCTCTGTCCACACAAAACGACCCCAAATATGGGTATACCAGTACCAGGTAATGTGCTCTGCATGACATATTTGCTTGTATCATGCAACTCCGGTAAAGACTAATCTCACTACAGTCAACTTCGCTAATAACGACTGGGGATTTAAACGACAATTCGGGAATAACGACATAATTTTCATGCCCAGAGCAAAGTCCCAGTATCTTGTAGTATCTTGATCCTAGTTGCATAGAACAACAAGTCCAGGCACAAGCTTAGGCTACACAGATTGTTGCAACTTTGAATTTCATGCCACACACACACTGTGACGGACACACACACACACACCACCATCACCACCACCACCACTGCCAGCTGCCGGAAATGTCACCGCCGCTCCCCGAAGGGAGGTGCTGACACACACACGCACACATACATGCACATACACACCCACACCCACTTAAACTTGTCTTGCTCATTGCCATGACTGGTCACGCGAGTCTCCCCCGAAGAGAGGAGAAAGATTCAAAAGGAATCTTGGAAAGATGACTTAATTGGCTATTGAACTGCCCAACGGCCATCACGACCTGAAATCCCCAAACTCTGGGTGGACTTGGAAATGACCCTACTTATGGGCTGACAACACCTCAGTAAGTGGGTGAGGACAAGGTGCAGAAAGGGGTTGACGGCATCAAGGTATCCGTCCCGAGATCCAACTGCAATTACTCCTGCCCCAGTGAAGGCACACACACACACACACACACACACACACACACACACACACACACACCATGTACCATGTATACGCACGTCTCAAGAGAAGCACGGAAATCTGAAAATGCACTGGATGTGCACCGACCGATTTTCTCTTTATAGCAACGATAGTGGATCTGATTCTGATAGAAACAGATCAAGACAAGCGTCAGATAACTGTCTAGTCCACAAAACTGGCGAAGCCATGCGCACACACACACACACACACACACACGCACACACACACACACACACGCACCTCAGACCTCAGACCTGCCCATCGCGGAAGCGATGATAGCGAACAGCTATGTTAGACATAGCAACTTGTGCTGGGATACACACACGCACACACACACACACACACATCCCAACAAAGTTTCGCCTCTGTCCTGCCGCTTTTATCAGTGGTTGACCTTACTCAGTTACCATGGTTACTGGCAAGGAACAGTTGAAAACAACGTGCCACTGAAGTTTCAACCATAGGAACGTGGTGACAGCCAGAGCAATGACACCAGTAGTAGTGCAAGATGCACCAAAGTAATAGAACTTGCGGAAGGCAAGAACCAAAACAGACACTGTGTGACACTTCGTGCAAATTAGCGATGAAAGTTGACAGCAAATATCTAAACTAGCTCTAGAAATATGCATACTTCAAAAGTACAATTCAGACTTCTCTATGCAGCAAGCAGCTAACAGTTCCGGCCAATGATTCTGCATCAAAACTAACGGTTCGCGTGAGACTCGGCCTTCAGCCGAATTTTCCGCATCCGTAAGAACGCCGCCAACCACTAGGATCAAGACGCAGATACAGCTCCTAAACTAGAGCGGCCGAAGGTGAGTAGATAAGACGCACCACAACGTGACGGGCAACTAAAATTATTATAAACTAAAATCAAGAGTTCATAAAGTTTATGAACTCTTGCTAAAATGGAATTGAACTGTTAGCCATGGCGACAAGTGCCATAGACACTAACATATGCACCTTTTGAAATAATAATTATTATACTAAGAATTATTACGAATGTATCCGCATGTTATAGCATAATGTACAAGGTAAGGTTTTCAGTCATTGATATTTGAAATAGATAAGCACTGAGAATGCTCAAACAAAAGAAACTAGCCATTAAAGCATGAAGCTAGCCATCACTGTGAAGACTTCTATAATAATATTTCACTTGCTGTGTATTAGTGCTCCTGACATTTATCTACTGTATGAATACATGTCGAAGGACTCGGATGGGGAGCCAAAATAATTATGGAAAAAAATGAGAAGGACAAAATGTTACAAGTTATGACTAATTGTCCACCAACGTAAGGTTACGTTGGTGTACAGTTAGTCATAACTCGTAACATTTTGTCTTTCTCCTTTTTTCCATAAATGTAGAAGGAGAAAATGTTTAACTATTCAGTATACTATTACAGTTACTGAAGCACACATGTGCGCAAACTCGGCATCATTATACATGTACATTCTGATTGAGAGAGTGCGCGCGCGAGAGAGAGAGAGAGAGAGGGGGGGGGGAGAGAGAGAAGAAAGAATGAGAGTGATTCATTTCAAGAATCGTCTTCATCTCCATACTCTTCGATTTCACAATCTTCATCTTCAAACGAGCTTATCAAAGCCGCCTGCCCATCGTCTGCGCTCGCTGTGCCACTTGCCTGCTCAACGTCTGTGCTCACTGTGACTTCAGCACTTGCCTGCTGATCAAGCCAACCTCTTGCGCCATTTAGGAACCGCTCTGCTTGTAAGCTGCGGCACAGGCTGTAATTCGCCCAATCTTTCATTTCCGTCTTTCCGTTCACGGACTTTTCTCTGCAGATCACCTCCAGCTGGTCCAGATCTAGGCGTAAAGTCTTACAAAGAGTGGCAAAATGCTCACAGTTGCTCTTGAAGACGTTGTATCTGAGGAAACTGTGAACAGGTTCTTTGGATTGCTTTTCGTAAAACCAGCGTGCGATGTCAGCAGCATGTGAACGTGGAGCATTCTGTCCCTGCAGTTCAACTGACTTTATAATCTGTTCCGTGTCCGGTGACATTCCATCAATGCTATCGCCAGTAATGGAGTCCTCTGCTGGAAGTTCCTGATTTGGGGTTTTCCCCAAGTAGGAGTATACCCGTATTTTCCCATTCCCGAACGTGAACGCGATCGGATCACGGAAAATGATTTTAGATTTGTGTAGTTCCGTAACTTTACCAACAACGTTCGCAAACATTGTCCTCAAACAAGGTCCCGCCTCTTGCACGGGCTGCTTGTCGGGCAGCTTTTCGTCATCTGGGTCTCCAAACTCGATGACCCTGTGATTAGTTGCATCATAAATTCCTGCAGAGATAGGTATGACACACATGGAAAGAGACACAGCGATTTTACAAGGGAAAAAAGATGAATGCGGACACTGACACAGAATCAGCCAGAGTAATGGTTTGCAGATATTATATGTATGCCTAAAAGCATTGGTAGGGAAGGAGAAAGAACATAGCGTTGTGTCAAGACTGATGATTAGCAGATCCTTGCTATGGGTTGCATGTAGGCACCCCAAGAGGTACATGACTTTTGAAATGATTCGATTGGACGACTGTACTCCTTACAGCATGGCTATACGTACTGGATGTAGGCACGCTGCATGTACATGTACAGTGTATGCATACATGATACAAATGAGCGGTTTCGCCAGCTTGCTACCTACATGTACATGCGCATGATCCCAGGCACCTACTCATTTTATTGAAACTTTCACTCATGCTCTTGTAAGTAATTAGTTGTAGCAGATGAGCACTTTGGTGTGTGGCAGTGCCTTTGCTGTTTGCGTTATGCAGAGCTCACTGACTTGTCAGTTTTCAGCAGTCTGGCAAGGTACGTTCGGGCCTTTTGGTTTCTGGGAAAGATATTTTTCATACTTTCATTGCTATTGGGTTCGGCCTCATTTTCTCTGTGCTTCGCTGATGAGTCCACAAAGAACGAAACAGTTCCGTCTGCATATTGAGTCGGGCAAGGTACGTTCGGGCCTGGTTTAAACCTGGTTTTTGGGAGAGATACCTTTCACATTTTCATTGCTATCGGGTTGGGCCTTATTTTCTCTGTGCTTCGCTGATGAGTCCACAAAGGACGAAACAATTCCGTCTGCATATTGAGTGTGTTGTAAACATATGGTGACCAAAAAAATTAAGAATTTTTGGGGAAATGACCTGGTCGGCCGGCCCGAAACAAGGTTATTCTTTGTTCGGGCCTGACAATGTTATATTTGCAATGGCGAGTATGGGTCAAGCAAACGCAGAGGATGAATATGCTATGGTTTAAGCAGTGTACATGTACTGCAGTCAGTATGTACACTTGAGTGCTATCCGTGGGTGCACGATCACCTGCAAGTCTGGGCTAGCAAGTTAGGATGTACGGCACTTTCTGGCTGGGACACGCCTGCGCTCAAAACCCCCACCAAGTAAAGTGTATGTCATCGCTTGATAGCGTTCACCAGAACTCACTCCTTTGACCCCTATGCGGAAGTCACTAGGGCTACCCAGGAGTAGAGTGCAGCGCAGTGAGGTGAGTTGCTACATGAACACCACACATGATTATCAATGGTTAGCAGCGCGTGCACTGGTGACTTACCGTGATGTGAATACAAGTATTGTTCAACGGGGGTTCCATCCACAATCTTCCTCTGCCACTTAAGCTTACAACGGCGCACAAACACATGATCACCGTCTTTGAGTTGTTTTGGATATTTTACCACAATCTGGGGTGCCGCCATCTGAAGAGAGAACAAGTATAGCACACATGCCATGGAGATGTACAGTGACCAAGCGAGTCAATGCCACGCACGGTGCGGTGCAGCCCCAGAACTGTCAGCACTGGGACGTGCACTGGTACATATGGTGCAGGGCGCCAACTTTACTCACGCGATCCAATTATTATGTCATTGAGAAGCACTGTACATCATTGCTTTGTAACTTGCTCATCCCTTCCCCTTTTGCGTACGTGATTTTCTTTTCTTCTCTTCTTCCGTGGTTGGTCTCACCCTTTCCTCAATACAATTGGCTGTCTTGACATGCTACGAGGAATAGAGATAATTAAATAATAAATTATTCAATAAATAAATCATGGTACAGACACAGCATACATTGATCGTTTGCCAATCTGTACGAGATGAGATCTGGCTTCTTCCTGGACTAAGCCACGCAAGCAAAAGTAACTTAGTTAGAGAAGGAAAAGATCAAATGTCCCCCCTCCGGGTATGTACTAGCACTCGCTGGTCTTGCCTTCGTAACTGAATGAAGCTGAGACGGTCTGCTGCGGGTTGAGCCCTACTGGCACAGCCACCTTGTGTGGTTACTACCATTGGCTGTACCTGGTCTTTCTCCCTTCTTTTCTCTCATAATTAATAGGTAGGATTGTCTTTGAAGTAAAAAAATCACACTGAAAAACCCATGCCATCAGATGATTCCATTCGTACAGATCAGAATTCCTGCACTGATAGCGGTATCATTAGGCCAAAACAAAAACAAAATAGGCTTGTTTCGGGTCGGCAACTCCTCAAAAAGGAGACTCGGTCGGCCAGAATGAAACTTTTCTTGGATACTTTTTTGGTTCCTCAATCGTTGTGGTGTTGATGGACAAGAACACCTACACATGTACATAGTCATTGTACACAATATCATGGCAAGGATCAATGGCAAAGTTGACTGACTCACTGTTCTTGTACAGCATTTGGTGTATTCAGGGGTTTCGTACATCCTGAGAAACCAAGCAAACGGTTCGAGTGCTTCCAGCTCCGTTATTCTAGCTCGTATCGACCCCCGGGGTTTTCGAGCCGGCAGCTGAGATTCTCTGCTACCTGGTGGGTATTTCGATTGTGGAATTCGGTTGAGATTTGACTGAGTTATGACTCGTTGAGTACACTTGCACACATGGCATTGGCACCATTCGCATACATTTGGGACCAAAAAGTTCAGAATTTGGGAAAAGGTGGCCCGATCGGCCGACTGGAAACAAGGTCATTATTTGTTCTGGCCTTATAAAATAAAACCACACTATACTTGTAGTGTCATGTGACTAGATGCATGAAGCCCATGCATACATGCATTCCGATATCATTCCCACCATCATGATCCACTTACATGATCTAGCATTCCATTCCTCCTTCCCACTTTAGCCCGTATGTATATATCTAGTAGATTGCATGTGTTCTAGGTTCTTTGTCTTATCGTAGTACAACAGTTAGAACTAAGGTCTTGGCTCTCTGGTTGGTCTGGTTAGACTAAAGTACGAAACACTACATGGTGGCAGCGGTCCAGAAGCCATGTCTTCTTCGGACCCCAGCTCGGTTCAGCCCGCTTCCCGCGGATCTTCCCCCGCCGGTGGCGGAGGCAGCAATGGTGGTTCAGGTAGCTCCTCCGGTGGAGCGCCTTCTACGTCTTCTTCCGCGCCCGAGCCCGCCCAGGTTTCTCTTCCGGGGATGGTTCACCTCTCACAGGTGTCCCCTCCATCATCGTTCAATTTCCAGGCTGCAGATCAGTGGGACCGCTGGCTGCGTCGTTTTAACCGCTATCGTCAGGCGTCTGGTCTTCACACCCAACCGGAGTCGGTCCAGGTGAACTCCCTCCTCTACACGATGGGCGAGCAAGCTGACGACCTACTGGACAGCTTTCATCTACCTGAGGATGACGTGAGTAAATTTACCACAGTCACTGAGCGTTTCACTGCCCACTTCGGCAAGAAGAGAAATTATGTGTACGAACGTGCATGTTTCCATCAGCGCACCCAACAGCCCACGGAGTCACTAGATGCATTCGTAAATGATCTCTACCGCTTGGCAGATAGGTGCAACTTCAAGGCCATGCACGATGAGATGCTCCGGGACCGGTTGATCGCAGGGTTAGCAGATGCACGTCTTTCTGAACGCCTGCAAATGGATTCGGATATGACGCTGGAGAAGGCGCTGGCTCACGCTCGCCAAAGCGCTGCCATCAAGGAGCAACAAACGACGGTACGTGCAGCAGCTGATCAGTCGTTGTTTGCTGTCCGCCAGGATCAGGGGCGGCTGCGTTCTAGTCGCGATCGTCCTCCGCTGCGTGATGCTCCCAGCTCCTCGCGCCACTCGACTCCATCATCTGATTCTTGTCCTTGGTGCGGATACGAGTCACATCCCCGCGCACGATGTCCTGCAAGTCGTGTAACCTGCAAAGGGTGTGGCAAGACAGGCCACTTTCAACGAGTGTGCCGCTCTTCGCCACCATCTGGTTCCTCCGGTTCTTCTGCACGACAGGGCACTCATCAGTCCCCGCGGGGCACAGGTGTCCATTCTCTCTCCAGCCACAGTGATTCCTCTAGCTCGGCAGTGAGTTCTGCTGACGCATTTCTGGGCACCCTGACCCATGGCACAGGCTGGAATCTCCCTATGCTTCTGCACGGCAAGGCCATAACTATGAAGGTTGACACGGGTGCGGATGTCCAGCTACAGTGTTCACGTCCCTGGACTTGCCTATCTCGCTCGCCCCATCGAACCGTACTCTCCGGGGCCCAGACAACACAAGCCTCAATGTTTGTGGCCGGTTTACGGCTGACCTGCGCACAGCTCACTCATCTCAGTCTCACTCCGTGCCCACCCAGGTGTACGTGGTCCGCGACCTCAAGCTTCCACTGCTCGGACGTCCAGCCATTGAGGCACTCGGCATCCTGCCTGCTCCTGCTAACGTGCTGGAGACCACCTCTACCTCTAGTGACTCAGCTTCAGACTCTTGCTCTCCTGTTGCCGCTGAGTTTCCTGACCTGTTCTCGGGCCTAGGTACCTTCGGTCCTCTCCACACCATTCAACTTCGCGATGAGGCTCCTCCATACTCGCTCTCCACTCCTCGGCGAGTTGCTCTGCCCATGGAATCGAAGGTTATTGAAGCCCTCCGTCGCATGGAAGCCGCTGGCGTCATTCGCCCAGTGTCCGAACCGACCGATTGGTGTGCCGGCATGGTCGTTGTTCCAAAACCAAACGGCAGCGTGCGCATCTGCGGTGACTTCACACGGCTCAACAAAGCCGTCAAGCGCGAACGGCACATTCTCCCTACCACGGACCATCTCCTCGCTCGCCTCGGTGATGCCAAGGTATTCTCCAAGCTGGACGCTAACAGCGGGTTTCACCAAATTCCGTTGGCGCCGGAGTCGCAGCTTCTAACCACCTTCATCACGCCCATCGGCAGATTCTGCTACACGCGGCTCCCCTTTGGCATCTCCTCGGCACCCGAGTATTTTCAGAAACAGATGTCAGATCTGCTCAGCGACCTCCCTGGCAACATCTGCATGATGGACGACGTCCTAACATTCGGCTCCACCCTCGAGGAGGAGGTCGACAACCTTCGACCAGCTCTGGCCCGTCTTCAATCCGCCGGCGTCACGCTCAACAGCGAGAAGTGTCAATTTCATGCCACCTCGATCAAGTTCCTGGGCCACGTGATTGATGGCTGTGGCATCCGTCCAGATCCAGACAAGATCCACGCGATCCAGGAGCTCTCTCCCTGCTCCGATGTCCATTCCGTCCGCCGTCTGCTCGGCATGGCCAACCACCTAGGCAAGTTCATTCCGGACTTGGCCTCCATCACGCAACCTCTCAGGTCTCTCCTCATCAAAGGCACCCCGGGGCAGTGGGGTGCTGAGCAGTGTGCCGCGTTCGACCGCATCAAGACGTCACTGAGTAACGAGCCCGTCCTGGCCAAGTACTCTCCCAACTACCACACCACAGTATCTGCTGATGCATCTTCCTTTGGCCTGGGTGCAGTGCTTCTACAACGCCAGCCCGACGCGTCCGTCCGTCCTGTAGCCTATTTGTCTCGCTCTCTCACACCAGCGGAAACGCGCTATTCGCAAATCGAGAAGGAGGCTCTGGCTGCAACGTGGGCCTGCGACCGGCTCTCACACTACCTCCTCGGCATGCCATTCACCATTGAGACGGATCACAAGCCACTCATCCCTCTGCTCGGTACCCGTGCTCTTGACGACCTCCCTCCGCGGGTCCTCCGGTTTCGTCTACGGCTACTTCGATTCGATTACAGTATTATCCACACTCCTGGCAAACAACTCGCAATTGCCGACGCTTTGTCTCGAGCTCCTCTGCGCAGCACAGATGCCGACGCCACTGCCACACTGGAGGCTGAGACCGCTGCTATGGTGTCGTACGTCACTGAGGCTCTGCCTGCCACTGCGCAACGCCTGGAAGAGGTTTCAGCATGGCAAAGCGACGACGATAGCTGTGCTCGCATCATCGAGTATCTGCAGCACGGCTGGCCTGCTCCTAGCGATGCTCCTCCCGTAGTGCAGTTTCTTATAGAGCACAGCGCACATTTCAGCCTCACGGACGACGGCTTGATTCTGTACGATCAGCGTCTCTACATACCTCCCGCTCACCAGCAAGAAATCCTGGCTCGCCTTCACCAGGGTCATCAGGGCATCACCAAGTGCCGACGCCTGGCCCGCACTTCCGTATGGTGGCCATCGCTCTCGTCGGACATAGCTACTCTTGTCCAAACATGCGAAGAATGCAGTCGACACCGCTCTCAGCCACCCGAGCCTCTTCTCTCAACTCCACTCCCAGAGTTTCCTTGGCAACATCTGGCCGCAGACTTCTTCACCATCGACGGTCGCAACCACCTCCTCGTCATCGACTACTACTCCCGGTTCATCGAGGTCCTCGACATGCCCTCGCTCTCCACAGCTCGTACAGTCAGCCATTTCAAGTCACTGTTCGCTCGCCATGGCATCCCTGACTCTCTAACGACCGACAACGGACCGCAATTCACCAGTGCTGAATTTGCCCAGTTTGCATCCACCTATGGCTTCCGCCACGTCACCAGTAGCCCTCTCTATCCGCAAGCCAATGGCATGGCCGAGCGTGCTGTTCGCACGGTCAAAAGTCTGTTCCGTCAGGGCACTGATTGGCACCTCGCACTACTCGCGTACCGCAACACTCCCTTGGAGAATGGTAAGAGTCCAGCCCAGCTTCTGATGAACC